CAGAGATAGACAGAGAGGAGAGAGAGAGACAGAGACAGGAGAGAGAGACAGAGATAGAGGTAGAAGAGACAGACAGGAGAGAGTCAGACAGACAGACAGGAGAGAGTCAGACAGACAGACAGGAGAGAGAGACAGAGGGGAGAGAGAGAGACAGAGATGGGGAAGAGAGAGACAGAAACAGAGAGGGACAGACAGAGACAGGGGAGAGAAAGAGAGAGACAGGGACAAAGACAGAGACAGAGAGACAGTGAGAGGAGACAGAAACGGGGGGGAGAGAGAGACAGAGACAGAGACAGAGACAGAGACAGAGACAGAGTCTGAGACCTAATGTGCAGGAATAGGGTAGAACGAGAGGATAAAGGCAGTGGTCCAAGGCAGGAAGAGACGCAGTAGAAAGTACTATCAAGGGTGTCAGAGAAGGAGGAGTCAAGTGATGCTGCCTCTGAGGATGACAACAGCAGTAGCCCGAGTTTATTCCTTTCCCTTCTCCGCTCTCCCATGCCCATGGGAGCTGTCATTTCATTACATCTTGCGCTTGCTCTTCCAGGCACTCAGCATACTAGTGATCAGTCAGTGTGATCATCTGGGCATTGTCAACAGCCTCCCCTCTGACAGGAGTAGGGACCACGCCACCCTTGCTGGCTTCTGGCTCAGCATCTAGCAGTGTTGGGCACACAGTGGGCCTGGTAATCCCAGGTCATTGCTGCCTCCTGGCAGGACTTCAGCAATCCACGTACCTGCCTTTCTTCTCCCACGTACACTGTACAAGTTGAGAGGGAAGGATCTTAGGACTCTGCAGGAGAAAGTGCAAGCTGTACAGTTTTTAAGTTGTGGGTACAGCAGATATGAGTGGGTAGTCAAAAAAAAAATGAGTCATCCAACCTCAGTGTATTGTAGCTCAGAGTAGCTGGCCTTGAGGACAGTCTCAGTGTCAGTCCCAGAGTTTACCAGCCTCAGACTCCCAGCTCCTGTAGTGGTGTCTTAGGATGATGGTGTATGACATAGCCTGTGATTGGCCCCATAGCCATCTCTGGAAAGTGTGTCCTCCTGTTAGCAGTGTTTATTGTGCTGTGATTCTTATGTCCACCTCCCATAGAGGCAGTGGCGGTTCCTTTGCAATACTCCGAACCCTCCTATGTGAAAGTTCTGGACTTTGACTCCTTGGGCTGCTGTCCTATCTTGTGATGGGGTCCCTGTGACATGGTGTGTGGAAGAGGCACTCCCAGGACAGCACAAAAGGAAAGGAGGTGACAAGGTGTACTTGTGAGCAGACTCCACTGAGATCCATCCCCAGACCTTCCTTAGATCCTGTATCATGCCTCAGGTGGTTCTGAGCTCTGGATGAGGTTCTTCTGCTCAGTGTAGTCTTTGGTTCAGGTCAGGGCAGCAGCAGGGCAGCGGTTTCATTTCACATTCCCAGCCAGTCTGCCTGTGTGATAGCCAGGTGGATTCTTAGTCCAAGAGAAAACCAAAAACAACTCATGCCAGGAGTTTATAGGCTGGGTGTGGACTACACCTATCATCACAGCTACTCAGGAGGCTGAGGCAGAAAGATGTTAAGTTCTAGCCAATCCTATCCTGAGAAAAAAGGACTGGAAATGCAACTCTGGTAGAGTGTTTGGCTAGCATGTGAGAGACTGAAGATCCGATCTCTAATACTGAAAAAAAAAAAAAAAAGAGGAGATCTAGGTGGAATACCACACCGTTCACCACAGCGTTCTGGGCTCCTGTGGACTAGAAGAAAGGCTGTTCATTTCTGTCTCCTGTGAGGTGTGGTACCGTGGAGGCCAGCCCTTCACAGTGTGGGCAACACCTTGTATAGGCCTCTGCCTAGCAGGGTACTCAGAAACCTGTGTTGGAGCAAAAGGGCCATACTCAAGGGGTTGGACCTAAGATGAGACCTTGTGCCTGGTCAGGAGCAGTCCCTGGAGACTGGCTTGTTAAGCCCTGTAAATGGGGCAGAGGTGGTACGGTAGTCATGTTGTAAGAGATTGGAGAGCAGGAGGTTAGGCAGATGGAAATAAGGAAGAGCAAAATACAGAGAAAATATCTTTTCAGCCAAGTGGGAAAAAGATCAACTATTGGGGGAGTGTGAAAACACTGGGAGAGTCACTTTGAGGCCTATGATGGAGACAGCAATAAATAACCAATGAAAGGGCCCAGGGCCCAGGCCTAGATGGTGAGTGCCACGGGTGTGGTTGTGTACAGCCAGGTCCCTAGTTTGGGGAAAGTGGCTTGTCTGTGAGGGCATCAATAAGATAGCATTTGAGGGTAAATCTGGAGGTGTCAGAAGTGTTTCTCTCTCTGCAGCAGCTGTGGCTACTTCTGGGTGGCATCTATTATGTGCCATGCTCGTGGCAGATGTCCATCACTTACCTTTTGCAGGGCAAGTGCTGTCTAGTATATCCCGGTTTCTGCTGGGTGGTTTGGCTGCAGGGTCAGGCTCCCATGTACGCTGCACCAGGCCTGTTGTGAGGCTGAGCAGCCTGGGCATGCAGTGCATGAGGGCTATAAAATGCACAGATGTGTGGCATGCCCCAGCCGCCTCCTCAGCCCCAAGAGCTTGCATGTCATTCCTCATCTGGGGGAGATGGGTCAACTGTGGTAGGTGGAGACTGCAGCATGAGGCTCTGGGTAGGAGTCCACTGGGTCAGAAGCCCAGCAGGTGTTACAGGTGCCTAGAAGGGCCCGGTCCTGGGTCTGAAGCCCTAGTGGCAGATATGTTTGTCCTGAATATGTAAGTGTGTGTGTGTGTGTGTGTGCGCGCGCGCGCGTGTGTGTGCAGTCTTTCCACACATCTGTTTCTGAGAATGCCTGCGTATATTTCTATGCCTCTCTTTGTCTCTGTACCTGTTATACAGAACACAGAAATGGTAATCAGTAATCTGCAAATGCAAGTTGAGGGAAGAAGAGAGGGATGGAGTAGAAACAGCAGGAACACATGATCAGGAACATGCAGCTGGTACCCCTAGGAGCACGCAGAGTGCCCGTTTCTCTGTGTGCTTTCTTCAGCGGGTGGGTGTAGACTTCTTATGCATGCGCACTGTATATGTGTCAGGCGCACACGTGTGCACCTATTGGGCTCAAGAAACAGAATGGCAGGTAAATAGAGACTGATGGAAACACACATTCTTCAACATACCTTGTCTTGCCTGCGTATTCCTGTGTGTCAGTGGGTGTTTTTCTGAGTATGTGGGTGTCTATGAATATGAATAATGTGAATATGGAAATGTAGGCACCTGCCCTGGGAAACACAGAGCTCCCACATCCGAATACACATAGGGAGGTTGGCAACACCATCATCCGGCTAGGGGGAGGGGTGCCAAGAGGAGGCCAGCCATGGGTGACCTGGGACTTCTGGCAGGAGCAGCTTTTGGGCCCTGAGCTATTGCTTTCCCCAGGAGGTCAGTCAGCAAACACCACTGTCCTTATGGGCCATTAGAAGAGAGCCAGTACGAACTGCCCCTGCCACACATATCCAGAGCAAGTCATGGTCCCTGTGGGTCAGACAGAGTAATAAAGCTCCCTGCAAATCATCAAACCATGGAGCCCAGGAGCAGGCAGCCTTGGGGGCACAGCCTGGCTCCCTCCCTGACCTCTCTCCACCTGTCCTCAGCACTCAAGTGGGGAGGACAGTGCATCCACCTCTCAGGTGGCTGTGAGGACTGAGATTATTCTAAGGGTGACCCCAGTTAACCCCACAGTCATTAGTTGACCACCTGCAGTGGATTAGACCCTATTTGGGGGCACAGAGGCTTCCCCCAGGGACCAGAGTTCCATGTCCTCATGGAGTTTACCTTGTTTGTAAAGGACACTGGTCAGCACTGAGCCGGCAAGGTAGAAGACATTGGGGTGGTGAATCCAAGCAGGAAAACCAAAGCAGGATATTAGGGCGGAGAGGGATGGGTGGTGGAGACAACTGCTGTCTCAGCGAGGCTGGAAGTGGTGAGCAAGGACATAGGCTTGGGATGCTCTTTGATCAGACGATGGATGTGAAGGAGTGAGTTGGTGGCCAGAGAGGTGGCTCCAAGAGAGAAAATACCCAGTGCATCATCCTGTCACTCTTCTCTTGCACAGTTGAAGAAATGGAGGCAGAGAGGCTGAATAATTTACTCACAGACAATGAGAAATTTTTAAGAGTTGAACCTAGGCCCCCTGGTTCCAGAGCCAGGAGTCTTAAGTCCGTGGTTCCTGAGTGTGAATTTTGCATCCGGGGAATATTTGGCAACGTCTAGAGGTGTTTTTGGTCATCATATCTTGACTGAGGGTGCTACTAGCAGCTGGTAGAGAGGCCAGGGATGTGGCCTGCCGTTCCAAAGTGCATAGAGCTGCCCCCGACACACACACACAAAGCAGTGTGCAAGCCACAGTGCTGGGCATGCTGAGGCTGGGAATCCCTGTCTGAATGCAAGACACCAAATGAGAGTAGGATATGTAGTAGGTCCTCCATAATAGAAGGGAGGCAGAAGTTATTTGGAAAAAGGAGAAATGAATTTCCGGAGAGGTATGAACATGTAAGTGAATCCATTCATTAAAAATCCCAGGTGGAGGGCTGGCGAGATAACTCTGCAGACAAAGTGCCTGCTTAGGCAAGCACAGGGACTGGGGTTCTGTCCCCAGTACCACATGCCGTGCTGGCCCACCCACAGGTGTGCTGAGCTGGTCACCGAGTTCGGGCATGGTGGTGCATGCCTGTAATCCCAGCACTGGGGAGGCTGAAAACAGAAGGATCACTATGAGTCCGAGCTGCTTAGTGAGACCCTGTACTAAATATATTTAAAAAAAGAAAACAAACGGGGTGCTGTGTGGTGCTGTGTGCTAGGCGAGTGTGAAGAGCAACCCTATCCTGGGGGCAGGGGTGCTGGTGAGGCCAGTAATAATGAGATTGGTGGGGTAGACTCGGGGCTGAAGAGGGGCCACACAAGCTGCTAAAAGTAACCATACGACTTGTCTCTGTACCCACCCTGTGTCTCTCCCCATCTCTCTTGGCCTCTGCTCAGGAGACAGCCGGAGGCTGAAGGGTGCCATTCAGCGGAGCACGGAGACGGGCCTGGCTGTGGAGATGCCTAGCCGGACACTGCGTCAAGCCAGCCACGAGTCCATTGAGGACAGCATGAACAGCTATGGCTCGGAGGGCAAGTGAGTGTGGGTCCCCCAGCTCCCCCAGCTCGCAGTCTTCTTCGGGAGGGGAGCTGATTGGTCCTGCAGGAGCCCTGGTCCCCAAGCTCGTGGGGTGTTGGCTCAGGGCTCCTGGATGGTGCCCATCTTCAGAAAGGAGGCAGGAGAGATGGTGGGACACAGGCTGTGGGTCCCAGGCTCACCCGGAGTCCCAGCTGTGTGGCCTTTGCAGGACCTCTTCCTGAGCCACAGTCCCCTCATCTGTGAGGCAGTGTCGACAGCACTCGCCGCTTGGGGAGTTCTGAGGGTTAGACGTTCATCATCCACGGGGTCACAAGTTAGTGCTTACAGAGCCAGCACTGTTGTACGCCAGTGTTGGTAAATAAGCAAGGGACTGGGAGAGGTTTTGTTATCATCATTATCGCTTCCTTTTTTAGTTTCTTAAATCCCGGTTAGATTTTAAACATATAAAGTGCAGTTCGATAGATGGCGTTGCATGTCCATCACATGATAAGACATCCGTGCTGCCTGACACCAGGCCAGCTTTTGCCTCCCAGGGCTGCAGATCAGAGTCACTGTCCAACTGGTTATGAACACGGTTGGCAGGGCCCAGATCCTGAGCCACTGAGTTAGTCTCTGGCAGTGAAGTCCAGAAACTCCATTTCTAAAACGCTGTTTGGAAGAAGAATTCATCCAGTCTAAGGGTTTCTCATCTTTATGGATTTGGGGGATGACTCCAGACCTGTTTTCTCCCAGCATGCACTCTTTCTCACAGACACAGTTGTACAAACCTGCTCTTCTTATATGGTGGGGTGTGCCCAGATTTCCCCTAAAGCCCATCTCAGGCCTATGGCAATGAAACTTGAATCCAGAGTGACTTTCATATCATGCGTATGGCCGAGGCACCCATAGAGGTTCAGGTGCTTGCCTGGGTACAGTGCATGCAAACAGGCTGGAGCCCAGGAGTCCCAGTCTCTGGCGGGGGCTTGTTCCACAACAGTGCGTTGCTGTCCTCTGGGCCAGGGACCAAGTTACGGTGTTAGGACGCTTGTTGTGCACATCAGGAGACAGACTTAGAAGGGTTAAGATCTGCACTGTGCTGTACAGGTGTCACCAGACACATAGAGCTGTTTAGATATAAATTAATTAAAATTAAATAAGGCACATTATTCTGTCCTTCTGTCACACTGGCCACATTTCAAGTGTTCAGTAGCAACATGTGGCTCATGGCAGCTGTGTTGGTGAGTGCAAAAAATTGAATATTTCCATCCCAGCAGCAAGTCCTACAGGACCACACTGGTGGAAGGGTTTATTCAAGAGCAGATGTGAGCTTCATGGGGTGGGCTGGGTTGGGGCTCTGCCTCTACCTTTTGCATCCCTTTATTTCTGGCTCTGCCAGTTGAGGCCACCTCCTGGCCAGAAGCCTTGTCTACCCCAGCCCCTCCCAAACCCAGCATCTCTGGCCTTGTGAATGGCCTTGCCTTGGCAGACACTGCAGTGCCACCCACTCTGAGCAGCTTTCTGGGGAGGGGGTGGGAAGAAGAGGAGGACAGGCGGAAGATGGAGGAGGAGAAGGAAGAGAAGGGGGAGGAGGAGGAAGAGCAAGAGGGGGAACAGGAGGAAGGCAGCTAGTGTGTTCTTTAACCTGAGACATCCGGCAGGAAGGTGTCCTCAGCACTTGAGGAATGGCAGGTCCCTGCTGACAGTTGTGTGAATCATGTGGGTTCAGGAGGCTCAGGGCTTAGCCCTGGCTCTGCCCCTGACCCTCTGGGTGACCTTGGGCCCAGCTGTAGGCTTCTCTGAACTTTGGGGAGGGTGGTGAACAACATGTTGGGCTCCTGGGCGGGTCAGGAGCACCGGGTCATGGGCAGGACAGCATGACGCAGCCCATTTCCCGGAAGAGGAGGGGAAGGCTGAGGAGGGCATGTGACGTGCCTGCAAAGAGAACATAGGAGGATGTGAGCGGGAGACAAGGTGACGCTTGCACGTGCAGAGCCTTGGAAGGTGGCATTAGTATTATTTGCTAGAAATGTGCTTAAGAGACCAGTGAGTCAAAATTACATTAGAAACAGGTTCAAAGACAGGACTCATCAGCCACATGGTGCTTGCTTTTGCTCCATTCTGCTTTTCAGTAGTTTTTTGGCTTCGGGGAAGCTACTTTCTCTCTGAACCCAGTTTCTCCATCTGAGAGTTTTTTGAGGATTTAATGAGTTAGTACATGAAAAAACATGTAGAACAGTAGTCTGCACATGCCCGGTACTGGACATATTTTCTGCTAGCTTTGTTAGTTAAGTGTTGGATTGTCTGGAATCAGTTGCATTCTGACAGACACTATGTGCCACTCCAGAAACTGTTGTGTGTATACGGTGCGTGACACAGTGTAAGTACTGAGCAAATGTTATAAGTACTTAGCATTGAGTACTGACTATGATAAAAGGTTTGGGGGGTAAACCCCGGTGAAGAAGGTTGAGTGATGCTGGCCCAGCAGTGGGCTAGTGTTGTCCTCCTGAGAGG